ACTAGGCTACTTTGTGGGTCCTCCATTCTATGAAATGACCAAGGGAACTCGTTTTCCCTTAGGCCTAATAGAGCGAGTAATCGATGGAGAGATTAAACATAAATTAGGCGTAATAGGAAACGGCTAATATTTCACCTTAACAAGCAACCTACAGAAAGTAAAACAACGCATAGCTCTTCTGGATAGTCAAGTCGTCGATTACTTTAAATCGCCAGAAAAAATGTGCCATGAGGGCTTACACGACCGACTAGACATGACTAGTACAATGGATCGACAGTAGCAAACTCAACTTCACCTTATTTTTTGTAACATAAATGCCGCAAAAAAATTTAACTTCATATTATTTTTCTATACATAATGCCGCAAAAAAAACTTCAACTTGCGTCATGGTTCTTTACGACTCAAATGACGGATACAGGATAAATTCGGACGTGATTGTTCCGCGGCAAACTAATTTTTTTTTGTTCTCTGGGATTATGAATTTAGGGGTACATGATTGACTTTTGCTGCTTGAAGGTCCGAGTTGAAGAAAATAGTATGAGGAAAAGAAATTATTGCCGGAAAGTATTTGAAGAACGAGATTACCTTTGTAAGCAGCTGTGGTAATTACTGTTGAATTCCTTGCCATCTCGACGGTCAAAGTACAGGGACATCAGTGAAATAATAGCGAGAAAAGCGATAAATTTTTACGTTCAATTAACTCGAGTAAATCACATGAAAAACAATATTCTGATACTATGATGTTTGAATCTAACCCTCAGTAAAGTTAAACTCATGTCACAGAAAATGCAGTGAAAATATCGAACAAAATTGAGGAATTTATTTTTTTTTGTTTTCTAATTAGCTTGTAAAGAAATTTTATATAGAGACATTCGTTGTTTGATAAAATAAGGCTTAATGTTTCGGATGGCTTCCCTTTAATTAAAGTTGATCTATTAACGGTTCTCCTTCCACCTCTCTGGAATTGATTAGATCAGGTATGGGTGAAGATATCGATGATATCTTCACCTTCACGATATAGAAGATATCGATGATATCTTCAATATCGATGAGTGCCACTAGCGAACAAAGTTCTATTGGATTATACCGCTGAGCCCTGACAAGCGGGCACAAGACAGCACGTCTCTAAGGTCATCGGACTGCAAAGGTCGGTACGACATTTTTTCGTCTCCTCTTTCTCTGCCTCGCATTTTGTAACATAGAATTCGTGTCTCCATTTCCTTTGGCTTCCGCTATTATCATGAAATTAGGATTACTATTACGGCTAGAAAATTTTTTTTACGACAAGAGATTTTATTACGACAAGAGATTTTATTACGACAGATTTTATTACGACAAGAGATTTTATTACGACATGAGATTTTATTACGACAAGAGATTTTATTACGGCAAGATAATCGATCTAGATTCCCTGGAGCGAGGCCATGAGCTGACTATAGTTTTAACGGCTAAATTCAAGTTTATATGTTTCCTGTAAACAAGACCAAACAAATTTATAATGTTGTGAATAAGGACGTTTTTGGGCTGGCTGATATTACATGTTCGATGCAATTGAATGTAGAATTATATGTATCTAGAAAGACCGAAACGCATATTGATAGAAGTTAACCAACAAAAAGGGGTGTATTTTGCCGAACATAATAAATCGTAAACTAGTTCGTTTTGAACACGAAAATTTTAAATGGAAGCCTACGCTGCAGCAATGCAAATAAAAAATGTAGTAATTTAAGCGGCAATGATTTGGTTCTGTTACTACTGAGAGGCACCAACAACAATATTGTTCTTCGTATTGTATAGCAGTTACCTGTTAGACTGAAAAGCGCTGTAATTCAGAAAGTTGCCATAATACAGTTGGAAAAATATTGTAATTTCTAAAAAAAACGTCTGTTTAATTTAAACAATAATACTATTTTGATCGATCTTTTGTATTGGTAATATTAGGTCAAGATATAACCCTGTGAAGAGCGGATGACTGACTTCTCGGTTCGAACCTCACGATGAAAGTCAGCACGAGAGATCTACTAATGTACCTAGTCAATTGTCGCATTATTTGACCTTTAATTGAATTTGTCTAATAAGGTTTTTCCAGCTAAAAAAATTTATTTGAAAGCACTTATTTTATTCTCCCATAGTTCAGTTACCTGAAATGTGATATTGCAGGCGTTCCGTTGTTCTATTGATATTAATACGGTCTCTAAACACGCGGGTCTTTAATCAGTGGGGTTTAATCACGCGGGGTTTAATCAGTGTTCTGTTAGAGTGACAGTGGTTTCCTAACGTTATAGTATTCGTTTTGCCTAGCTAGCGTTTGGGAGCGTGGCGAGTGTTAAAGGCCCGCTGATAATAGCTGGCAAGGGTGGAAAGACCTGGCCCGTGTTAGCTGAAGCTGCCACACTCGTCGACGTCATTCTTACGTCACTGCTGCGCTGACTGACCAGTACTCCACTGTTTCCTTCTGATTGGCTAAACTCTTCCTACCATAAACTTGAGGTTTATGCTCCAGCGAAGAGACCGTGAATGCGACAACTATTCCTCACATAACTTTGTGGATTTATGTGTCAGTGAAGAGGTGGTCTGCCAAGTGCTCCCATACCCATAGAAGGGAAAAACCTATTACGTGAAGGAAGCGGTTGACTTTATCGCCTCAGGGCTGCTACATTGCCTCAATTTCCTCAAACCTGTCATCTGAATAAGACTCCTGCAGCCCAAGCGTGTTAAGTGCCTGTTCTTTTTCGGACCTAACCTAGACTACAACGGGAGACGCTATCACGACATCGCATGTGCCCCGATTTTTTCTTCTTTTGGGCGCAAACGACAACTTTATACCCTGCCATTGTTATACCCAAGCTCGGCGCTTAGTTCTTCTCATATTTGTATAGATACGTGCAATTTATTCAACGTGTACCTGCTATTTTAGTCTGATTGTGTAATGTGTAAATCTAGGTTTAGGCGAGGCTGTGATTAGAATTATACTTTGTTTTTTACTGGTTTATGTATCTTTTTAGGCTTCTTATGGCTCTGTAAACAATAGGTTTCTATACAAACGTCTTTTTATTTCTATAGAAACGTCTTTATATTTTAGGAGTGACAGATGATGTGTTTCTAGATTTTTTAAGAGTGGATGGCGATAATTACGGGTCTGTCTGAGGGAGCAACTGCGGCTATGTTTGAGAGTGTGAAGAGATATTTGGAAAACGCGTGGATGATGAGGGAGAGGAGGAGGATGTTGTAAGTGGGGTCTTGAGGAATGGAGGGTTGAGAGAGGTGAGGGTGGGAAGACGTGTGAACGTGCCGAATTGTTTTAGTACGTGGTTTTAATTTTTTGCGATTGTCGAATTTTTATATTTTTTCTTAGGACAGCTGTGAATATGGTATATTTGAACTTTTTTGTTAACATAAGAGTGTGAACTTTTAATTTTTTGATGCTAGTAAAAGTTTTTTTTAGGCAGCGTGTATGACCGATTTAAAGGTCGTGACCGTAGGTCACCACGCACCCCAATTCCAATTCCTTTGACCCCAACTTGGGAATGTTTCAGGATATGATCAATATTTTCTCTACTACAGCCATAGAAAACTTCAATTCTGGGTAGACTTCGCTACTACCTGAGACCGTATTTCGTCGTGTGCTAGACAGCCACGGCCTGAGATTAGTAGCTAACAGCCTAACACTAATGACAGTCTGACAGGTCCTGCCATAAACAAAATTTATACGAACCAAGATGTAACAAATGTGTAGGTTATGAAACTGGTATAATACGAACAGATTAAACAACGGTCATAACATTTCATACTGCCGGGAAAGATTGTTAATTAAATAAAATTCTAGCAGATTAGCCGGCATTGCATGGTATAGCCTTATAGGAAATGTTTGCACGAATCCGATTTTCACGAATTACATTAATGAGGACGAAATTTATCCATGACAATAAAATGAAAACCAATTCAAACTTACATTTCACATAGAACTCCGATTTGACTTTCATAACGAAATGCAAAAAGTTTCCAAAATGCTCAAGCAGCTCAACTGCCCTCTGTGGGAGAACTTGAAATTGCTGAAAGGATCAAAATGACGTGACTGACTGAAGAGCAAATCTGTCTATGAATGAATGTGAAGTTGACTGCCAGAATAAACTGTTAGGCAAGGGAACATGAACCGATTCAATTTGGCCGCTATCTTTAAAAACTTCTCTAGTCTAGGTCTCTGCCATCGTGCGAATAATACCACAATTCTTCTATGTGTCTTGGATTTTTAATACTCGCTGCTTCCCAGTATAGGATTTTAGATTCAAACTCTTAGGCGCCGTTCCAAATCATTTCCCGCTGGACAATGGTAAGACCGTTAAACGCCGTTAAACCATAGTTAAAACAATTTCTAACCGGTTGAAGTTCATGTTATAGCGTTACTCATCGTGGACATTTCCTCTTCTCTTTCTTGTATTGGACGCGAGATAGCAAGTAAGAAAGAATATAATCATCCATGTCACTCACCTGTACTGTTTCTGACGATTCGCATGTTCACTGCTGTAATGCCAACGGATAAATGTGCAATTCAAGCTCTCACAGTAGTTGCAGCAAGGGAAAGTCGTATCTTTAAGTTTGCTGTGTTCGGCATCCACTGATTTTCGAACAGAAGTAACGTTTTTCTGCTTCACTGCAATTTTCAAGAACCAAGGAGAGTTTAATCTAAAAATGCCTATTCATCTTTACTTTTTGGTGTTAATAATTAATTCTATTAATACGTAAATACAAATTTAAATTTAGTCTCTTTCCCATAGTTCTACGCTAATTTGGACTATTTTGCATGGCGGTGGGACTGTAATTGTTAATTAGTATTTACTACTCTCAAATTGAACCGTTATAACTGTGCAAACACTTAACTGCAACCTTTGGAAGATAGTGTGTAGTTGAAGTAGTTTCAGTTTAAAAAAATGACACTGCATTTTACTGTTACAATCTGACATATTTTTCCTACGTTCGAGATCAACATATGATTTATGGTGCGTAACATTCTACTTCAAATTCATAACTCTAAAATTTGGAAGGAATAAATATAATTTCTTGCTAGAATCCTATTTAATTACTTCAGGTTTATATGGAAATATTACAGCGGGTTCTAGATGCTGGTATTTAACTGATGACGAATAAAAGTTTTCTACTTCAAACAAACTTTTAGTCACTTTAAGCGTGAACAAAATTGTCGCTTATTCGTTGCACTTATAATATTTATCTTTAAATGAAATAGGGAAGTTCATTCGTACGTAATAACAACAAATAACTCAAAGACAAAACAACACGACGATATCAGCTCTTTAGTCAGGTATATTATCGAAAATTTTCTGCTTGACGACTTTTTTCGGTGACAGCAGAAACTTGTCCTTTTTAGATATAAGCTTCATTTCTTTTTTGGGCGGAACCTCATCCTCGGGACTAGAAGTTTTATTCATATTTCGCACCACATTTGGCCATAGATTCCCGTTAATTTCGGCGTCTGCCTCCTTGGGTAAGGGCTTCCTGCCTCCTCTCTCGAACATCCTCATGAGTCTTCGCTCAAGTCTACCCTCTCGCCGCACCAGCCTCAAGATGGCTGTGCGGCTGAGACGACGTAGTCTCTGGTTTTGCTCCGATCCCCGCAACTTGATTTCGTACGTTGCGGGACTATGAGAATCAATTAAATTTTTTATCGTTTTTTTAAATATTTACACATGAATGAAAAAGTCACTACAATTGTTTTATTATTACTGTGTAATAGGCCTCAGTCGGGATATAATAAAATATTTACCGAACATTTTGATAGTAATAACGTTAATAACAAATAGTGGGATATTTAGACTCTTATATCAATGAATCTGAACATATTTGTTTAATTAACATGATAATTGTATATTTCATCAAGTATTAGTACAAGGGCAACGATTTTTAGATTTTTTAATAGACAGAGTTAGAAATTCATTATGAAATGGTTAATATAGTCTGAGCAAGATTTGAAATTAAAAATCATTTATTCCAAAGATATGAGTTAAGATTAATCATTTGTCGTATGATGTCTCGAAACCGATGTGAACTGAGGAAAGATTTTGTCATAGGAAGCGAGTTGGAATGCTCGTCTCATTAAGGCGGTCATGAAGGATGCGTTGGAGAAGAGATACCGCGTCACGTCCTGCGTCAGACGTTGTTGAGTGTCAGTCCTGTTGCCGGCGTACGGCATGTGATCCAGGAGCGGTCTGAAATATTTTTAAATCATGTACCAACTCGCTTACAATCGTGAAATTGTTTGGGGATTTTCACTTGTCGTACATAGTATTGATAGTCTCAAAATTATTTCATCTAAGTGAACATTTCCCAAAAATTCGAAGAGGTATTTCTACCTGATAATTCTAAAGTCTTGCATCTCAGCGCCGTGACTGTCAACGATGGTGAGCGAGTCGAACTGCAATGCGTACAAATACGCGTATGCCCTCGTCGCAGCAATACCGTCCTCTTGGTAGTCCACAACCACGTCAAGAGGGCCGCACAACCATCGTCCTCGAACCTACAGTCACGTCGACAGTCTTCGTCATCATGATTAATTATTGAAAGTCAAAGTCCGTTCGTCAGTCAAAGCGAACAGAAAAAGATTTTAACTTAACTTGAACTTGGAAGAAGGAATAGTTCGGAAAAAGTTGAGGCCCCCAAGAGTACATACAAGTAAAAGGAAAGTCCGGTAAGTTCGTCAGAGCGAACACAAAAAATGTTCAACTTGACTGCAACTGAGAAGGAATAGTTCGAAAAAAGTTGAGGCCCCCAAGAGTACATACAAGTAAAAGAAGAGTCCGGTAAGTGAAATTCGAAAAGCATTATGAAACAGCAAAGAAACCCTGATGTTATCTGTGTGATAAAAATCATAGTTTTTAGTTACTAAATTCAGACTTATTATTAGTGCTGGCAGCAAGTTTTGTTGAGCTGGACAGAGAGCGCTAGAAATGCGTTGAAAACAAGAAATTGAATGAAAACAGGTGAACAGTTCCCATGCTCAAGTTTAGATTACAGATGATAAAAATCAGCACAATAATATTTTATATAAACGAGAAAAATCTTTGTTATTTGAAATGCGCAATTCAGATGCGTCAAACCTGTCAATTATGAAATCCAGAAATTGGGCGTCTGTGGAGTTGACTCGAGCGAGACCGTGACCGGCCAAGGCAGTCAGCGTCGTGTTGATGATCTGCACGCCAGTCGTCGTGTCGAACACGAACTCCACGGTCAGTGGTCCGAAAATACAGTGACTTCTTACCTAAACGACGGTTGGTGTAGAATAGTAATGGGTGAATAAAAAGTGGCTTGGGAGCACAGAAAATACAGTGACTTCTTACGTAAAAGATGGTTGGTGTAGAATAATGTTGAGTGAAAAAGAAGTGTCTTGGGAGCACAGAAAATACAGTGACTTCTTACCTAAACGACGGTTGGTTTAGAATAATGTTGAGTGAAAAAGAAGTGGCTTGGGAGCACAGAAAATACAGTGACTTCTTACCTAAACGACGGTTGATTTAGAATAATGTTGAGTGAAAAATGAAGTGGCTTGGGAGCACAAAAAATACAGTAACTTCTTACCTATCTTGTGGTTGGTGTAGTTCTATTGAACTCTTACCTATTGCAGTGGTGTAGTTCTAGGAACTGGATTAATTAAGGGCACAGGAAATACAGTGACTTTTTATCAAGTCACTGTATTTTCTGTGCCCTGTGTGTATACAATCTACCTGTGTCAGTGCAGGTGGATTGTATTGTAGAAATAGAACTGGATTTGGAGCACACAAAATACAAGAAGACGTTCTTCCCCTTACCTGTAGTATACGGTAACTTCTTGCGTGAGCTGTGGACAGCTAAAACTATGAAGATGATATACATGACAATTTATTTTTATTACAAATCAATTGTTTGAGTTATCGAATAGACAGAGGAGTTAGCAAATCTCTAAATACTAGCAAGAAGAGTATACAATGTAGCTGCAATGAAACTTACATAAATAATATTTTTCTCAAGCCAACAGGCCTAGGGTCTACGCATGAAAAATCCAATCATTACACCAAAAGTCAATGAAAAAAACTATTCGCTTAGTCTAAGCAGTTGTGCTGGGAGGACCTCAATATTCAAACATTAAGCTGTTCTTCCACCAAATTCAGCTCGATCTTGCCTTGATTTGGTAGACGCGATCCTGCTTTTCCTCGCGAAAAGCATTTTCGTCTATGCAACAAAGTTCTTTAGGTTGCATTTTACTAGCAATAAATTACAAAAAATATACGTAAAGCTTATTTCAATGTATATTTTTGATACGAGTTTTAATAGCCAACAATTCGTGGTTTTTTGGAGGAAGTTTAGTTGCATTTTCCAAAAACGTTATTTCTTGTCTGACCATGCAATACGAAATGGCCTTAGTCAGAAAGAAGGGCTTGGTCTGTCTAACTCCTCACGGATGTTAACATTTAACATTTTAATTTAATTATTTTCGGTTGGTGTCACAGTCATATTTGTTCTGTCATATGTTCTGTTACCTATCACACAAATAAATTAGTGTATTTCCTGTCCGTATTCATGTCTGGACGAGTTACGTATTAGGGCTGGACGGGCCAGGCAATAAGTCCAGCAGCTATTTTAAACAATCGTCAGTTATGGAATGATCGGGTTCAAAACGCCGGATCCCATGTAGAATCAAGTCACGAAAAGTACATGAATCGGCAACAGGGCATGGGCCTATTTATTCAGTGCTAACACTTCTATTCTATTCTATTCTATATTATTATGTATTAAGCTCCATCGCACGGTTGGTGCAGTCACCGTCGGAGCTGAGTGCATGGTAATGTGTTAACAACGGCCAAGCCGACCGACTCACCGGCGTATACACAAGTCTCATGCATGAGTTGGCAGTGTAAATAACGTGGGGCGTTTTTGGGTCAAACGCACAAATTTATTATTTGATCATATAGCAATGGAAAATATTATGGAAATAAAACAATATATTCACTATCTGTGGACTTGTCTTACCAAGGTTGCGTTCCCCGAAGTTTGAACCTCTGCGTTGCCGAAGCGCTTAATGCGAGTCAGGCCACGGATGACACCGCCTCCGATCGGCTCTCGTTTTGGTTTTTCACTGTGTGCATCGACCGAAAAATTAATAATAAAATATATCATTCGTATACAATTTCATATAAACATCCACAATCAGCGCATGTATACACCGCAACAAAATGTTTCTGTTGATTATTTTTGAGCTTCAATAACCACTATAAAATGTCCCACAATCTTTGTCAATATGTTCAATATATCGACTGAAATAATCGACAAAACAGCTTAGTATCTGAACTCTTTCAGTCGTTCTGATTGAAGTTTCTCTGGTGCTTGCCCTGGCCCAGCATCAGCTTCTGTAGGCTTGTCCTCTTTGCGCCGAGTGGGAACATACCTGAAAATGGGAGGAATTTTTCATTCAAAGAACAAAAAACTTTCTTTCTTCGCCCCACTCACTCGACAATACCGCCCATATGTACACGGATAACTCCCCTAACTCAACTCTACCACCCTTATGGACCTAGATCACTCCGCTTACTCGACACAACCGCCCATATGGACCCGGATCAGTCCACTCATTCGGCCCCACCTCCCCTTATGGACCCGCATCTTTCCACTCACGCGACCCCATTGCCATTAAAGATCCGGCTCGCCCCACTCACTCGAGCTCACCATCCATTATGTACCCGGATCACTCCACTCACTCGACACCACCGCCTTTAAGGACCCGGAAGTACAGCGGGTCCATTTGCCGTCGCCGCATTTCAGCAACCATGTTGACCAAGATTCCGTCCACGAAAGGATTGAAGCGAGCGTCCGGCACGTACACGCCTTGGTACATCAGCGACATTTCTCCTGCAAATAACTTTGCCTGTGATCGCAGTTTCACACATACTCTCCAGTAACATTTTTGTTCAGACATTCAGTCATCAGTTGTATTTGTACAGAAGATTACCTGGCTGTTAATTCTTCGCCTATAACTGATAGGTGTCTTATATACAGTGGGGGGAAATAAATATTCGTACACTTGAAAAATCGTATTTTAATGTATGTAAGTACACAAACTTAACAGGAAAAGTGATTTAAATTATTTGTTTAGGTTTTATGTCTGTCTTTGAATTTTGACTTTTAAAGTGATTTTATTCATTTTTAGTTTAGTCGAACTGATGATGGAGCTGGACTCCGAAACGTTTTCAATATCGATATGGTGAGTTTTCTTGGCGTTTTCTTTGCTTTTAAATTCCTTATTGTTTTGTACGAATACTTTTTTCACCCGAAAAGTGAACATGTTGCATTGTTTTTTGTTGCATTGAGATTTAATTTCTTTTGATAGTATTTTTTAATACTATGCGTCTCTATACATAATTTAAATCACTTTTCCTGTTAAGTTTGTGTACTTACATACATTAAAATACGATTTTTCAAGTGTACGAATATTTATTTCCCCCCACTGTATTTCAAGAAGTTAGTGTCAGGCCCCAACTTTTTGTTTAATCATAAGTAAGTGTCTGTTACTAATTCTAATTTTTTGGGGTATGGTAATTAAAAAAACTAAATGTACAAAAATAGATAGATAACAAATTTAAATTTGATACCTTTAGAAACTTAGTGTTGAAAGTCCGACCTGAGCCTGGAGCTTCAAATTGTCGACAACTGAAAATTGGAAAAAGACTTTTCTCGCCAATTCTGTCGACGTGCAGAAATTTTTTATCATGTATTTTTATGCCTGAATGATTTATTTTTATGCATGAATTATTTATTCATCGGGAGAGCTCCGATTTCGTATGTTCACACGTTTTGGCGCTCTGCAACGAATACGTAGCGTCATCCGCTATCTCTCTGGGCCGGTCCTCGAGGCCCTCGAGGTGGCGCTCGTTCTGACCAGATTGGACTATGGTAATGCCAAACTATATAGACTGCAATCCGTAATGAACACTGCTGCGCGACTCGTGTGCAATAAGCGGAAATTCAATCACGTGACGCCGATATTGCGCGATTTTCATTGGCTGCGCATGCATCAGCGCACGCAGTTCAAGGTCGCTGTTCTGACGTTCCGATGCATTCGCGGTTCGGCGCCTCCTTAGCTCACGGAATTTCCGCAGCGCGTGTCGAATCTGCCTTATAGAAGACGATCGACTGCATTCGTCATCAACAACGGACCTCGTCGTTCCTTCTACAAGTCTATCTACCGTCGCCGACAGAGCGTTCCCGGTTGCCGCCGCCAGAACCTGGAACAGTCTGGCGGCTTCCGCAACATTGCTCCATCGTTGCTGGTGTTTCGTTGACGCCTAAAAACGGAACTATTTCGTTGAGCCTATGAATCAAGTGCTTATTCATTTTTATCCGTTCTCATACTTTCTCATGTCTATCTATTTTTCATTTGCTATTAAACTTATGTTTAAGAACTTAAAAACTTAAACTTATGCACTCGAAGTTCGTTTGAACCATACGCTATACGGCAACTGCTTCGTAAAATAAAAATAATAAGAAATGATTATGAATTGTAATATATTTACTCACTATTTATGTGGTGCTCAGGTAAAGTCAGGTTTTCTGGAGCATCCCCCAGCTCCTTATCTGAAACCAGATAAGAAATTTATCTTACTGATCTAATTCCAATACTGCATGGCTAACTCATCGCATACACTCGTAGATGATTTCGAACACTGTTAAGGGGTTATATTTTTAGCGCATTTTATCATTTATGGATAAAATATACTATTGTGCTCGCCATGTCCGTCCGTCCGTCCGTCTGTCTGTCCGTCCGTGACTTCACGTTTTCGTCGACGAGAAAAGGTGCTCTCTATCACTTACTGCAGTGAGTACTGAGTTTTATTTTTAAATTCAAATGGTGTTATATTTCGTTTACTTTGGTGTAACGGCGTCGAGTTGTAGCTGTGCCAGCTATTATGTTGTCATTTTAGACGGAAATTTCTCAGATGTATTCATGTATCTCAATTAAGCAAAAAATTAACAGAAATTTTTTCAGCAGCGATTATTTATCTGTACCTTCAAACAAACAATCATTCTTCGGAAGTTTTACTTGTTTCAGTTTCAATTTTCCAATGCTAGCAAAATCTACTCGATAACGATGGCAAAGTTACGTCATCGTCAGCTATGGAAAGATCGGGTTCCAAAGGCCGGGTCCCTTGTGAATCAAGTCACGAAAAGTACATGAATCGGCAACAGGCCATGGGCCTATTTCTTCAGTGCCGACACTTCTATTCTATTCCATTCTATTATATTTATACGTACCCACGTTATCGAACTCATCCTGAACTCCAGCCTCGACGTCGTCAGCGATGACATCGTCAGGCAGGAGGTCCAGGTTAACGACCGTCAGACGGTCGGCGCCTGGTGTTGGTGGTTGGTTCGAGACTGGAGGAACCATATCGTTGAAGTGAGATGATACTTTTAAAATTCTCAGTAATAGATTATACTGATGAGCATGAAATTAGTATACCGTAACCTATTTTTTATAAATTTAAAAAATGTACAAATTTCATATGTTTATGTATATAGTTTTCTTTGGCTAGACGCATCTGAATTTCAGTTTTGTAATTTCCTCATTGAAATGCTGAACTTTTATTTACTATGAGTGAGATTAAAAAAAACTTACAAGAACAGTTCAGGCTCTTCCAAATAATATCATGTGCTTTACTTAGACATATATTGCATTAAAGATCATTATTAAAATTAACAGCTATATTAATGAGATAATTGCTCAATTTTAAAGGAATGCCTCAATAGAATACATAGAAGTGTCTCGAAATGAAGAGTTGATTCAATTGTGGAGAGCATGCATTCGATATCAGGAGTGCGTTGGATGCTTCAAATATATATATTTTTCCTTTAAAAATTAGAATTTGATACTTTACGAAAACAGTCCATTAATTTTAATTGCTCCTATAATGAAGATGATAACTGTTATTAAAAAGTGCAGTGGCTCATTGTTAGTTGATGGAATGCTTAATTTTAACACTGCAGTCACTCACTATATCTGTATATAAGTGATAAATAGTAAGAAATTATATACCAAAAGTGTAGAAAATAATTTACTTGTGTAGTGTAGACGGTCAGCAATTTCTTTGATCAGGTCCGGGCTGAGAGATGTTTTGGTCGCCAGGGAAGCTGCCGTGTATACTAGAGCCAAGTTGGCGAAACATGTGAAGGCGAAACTTGAAAATTGCTGCATGTTGAACACTTGTTTATAACTGCAAGACAAAATAAAATGACTTGTAAAAAAAATAATTTGGATTACAACGAAGATTTCGTTAAGTAAGTGTACACAAAATGCTTTAATTCGAAAGCGGGTAGCGTGATTCAGTGAATAATATATAATGTTGCATAAGACTTACTTGAACCTTTACGGAAAACTACTTCCTATCGGAACACTTTTGGCTCTGCTCAATTTATTATCTCGTACACGTTTTGTACTTCATTAAAGTTTGTGAAGTAACTTTTCGACATGATAATTAGTACCTTTTCAGCATAAAATCTCATGCATTTTATAATGGCGTTTATGGTACAAAAATCTGCTTTCAGTGCTCCATTAGAGAAAAATAATCTAATTTCATTTATCACCGTATTCGCGTTTTGTATCACAGTCGGTGACTTGGCGGAAAACTTTCTCCATGCGAGCAGCGGCTCATAGCATGAAGAGTGAGTCCAATACTTTATACGCGTCTTGAGCCTGTCTCGGTCACGGTTAGTGAAAGATAGAGACTGCAGATAGTGAAAGAAGGAAATTGCCCTAGATAAAGAAGTTTTTAATGAGCGAATTCATTATCTGCTAGTTCGTTTGATATTCCAGCAAAAATTTTCCCGTCTTTATTTACGGCAAATGCACGACAAGAATTATTTTTTTTCCAGAATTTCACTTAGGTTGTGCGAAATACATTGTTATTAACATGCTACACGTCAGCCGCTTTCTCAATAAATTATTTTACAGATAATATTTTAAATTACACCCTGCTATCGCACCGGCTACGTTTCCTCTGAAGCACCGGATATGTTCTTGGAGTTCTTTGACTCAGACATGTTAACTAGATTTCTCAAACGCTCGAGCTATGTTTAATTTAAGCCTCTACCGCCGTATGTCACTCTCCGAGAACATATAACTTTCAACTTAAATTATACGTAAACTATTGAGTGTAGCAACCTGAGAACGTTTGTACGCAACAGAGAACATTTTAAAGTTGTCGTACGTGGCGGCAACCATCAGTACAAGTCATTTTGCGCTCACTAGAACGTATCCTTTTTGGGAAGTAGGCCTGTGACAATATTGCTCCGGTTACTCATGTCAGGCAGTAGAGGGTTAAGGTCTCTGTAGCATCTGCCTTATTATTTAAAAGTTCTTTAAAACACCGCTAATGTTACATAAAAGTTCTCTAAAGAACCGGTAGTGTTACCAAAAAGTTCTCCAAAGCACCGGTAATGTTACTTAAAAGTTTTCTAAAGCACCTGTAATGTTACTTAAAAGTTTTCTGAATCATATTTCACGTTATTTTGAAGTTCTCTTGCTCGTCAACCTACTTATTTATCCTAAAGAGCTTTAACGGCCATGCTTTCTTGAACTTCTCTGACTCGACGATCATGTTGGTTTAAGAGTTCACTGATGAAGCAGTAGTCACTTAAAGTTTTCAGACACATCGGCAATGTTATATCAATATACTCTCCTAAATCGGCCATGTCTTCGTAAAGTTTTCTGACACATCATCATGTTTTCCTTAAGTTCTTTGGTGCGTTGCCATGTAATATTATTGTTCTCTGCCGCATTAATGTTTTTCCTGTACTAATAACATCCTCATAAGCTTCGGCCACGTTATCTCAATGTTCTACTCCTCATTTCACAGTGATGAGGGAGTGCATGACGGCTCCTGGCCACGGCAGTCGCGACAAACTACCCATCGGCAAATGACGTTAAAACGACGTTGAAATAACGTCAGTTTAACCTATCGATGTTTAATAAAACGTTGATTCAATGTCAGATGTCTGGTGGGTAAGGACCGACAGCGTAGGACGCCAGAGACTGCAACGCTCCGACACGAGTGATCCAGACAGACGCGCCAGCGCGGGCGGCGCCAGGCTCCACATTCCAGTGAGTTAAAGCAATCATTGAATAATCATTTACATGATTATCACAAGGATAATGACGTGATGTTCTTTTCCTGATATTGGTCGGCTTAAGTTAACAATGGAACAACTATAGGATAAAGTGCGTTTGGCACAAATGTTTTTTTTTTTACATTTTACTCGTTCGGCCAATTATGTGCAAATTTATGTAACAATGAATGGGGTTTGATGAATAAATAAATTCTATTTTACATGTAAGGGAATGACGACATAACTCTTATCCTCACACAACTTCGATTCTAGTAACTTATGCTGTAATTACAGGTCGTATTCGTAGGACCCATAAATGTTTTTTACAAATAACACGTTTTAGGAATTAGGAGGAATGTGAGGAATTTGGTAAGGTCTTGCGGAGGTTTCAACACAAAATACCTTGTGAATCACTGCAATTTCCCTGAAATTTTTGATCTGATAGAAACATATTTTTAGCTTTGATTATTTCCTGCTTTCTCTCCGTTTCAATAGCATTCTATGTCAGCTTATTGAGGAACACAAATTTCAGAATTGTATTTTAAACTGACCTTGAAAAACGCTTTAATTAAGTCGTTTGATTCAAGTCTTCTGGTCCACAATTTCTCTTCTCCCACGCCACGGTTCCCCTATAGCGCTGTCACCAACTCGACGGCTTGCACAACTATTACTCATGCAGATGTAGGAGGAATTCCAGTCTTTCTAGTGGAAGAGTTCGTGTTTACATAACCTCCCTCGACCATGTTCCGAGATACACTGGCTGCCATGGAATGCAAGCATAACAGTGAACGTGTTACCGTCTTCATATTCTTGCCAATGAATTATTCTGACAGGGCAAAAGCTGTTCGATCCGCTTAATTCAGGCTTAAATTATAACGGTGATTGAAGCCTATGTTTTTGAATCTCAAATAACACGATTATAATCGTGTTACCTTAAAGCCAGTAACTCTGATTGCTTGATAATTCCAATGGCATTTTTAATTGAGGGCCCCCGCAATAAAGATTGAAAAGGTCATGTAAGTTCAGGAGATTTTCATCAATCTTTGAAATCTTGATCATTTATAAGAAGTCAATCAAAAAATTGCGCATGATCGGAGACGCTTCCTCTCTACTTACTTAATTCTTAAATTTTAGGTTTGAATGTTAAAGGTGAAGGAGAGAACTGAATTTATTTATTTTATTAATTCTTGGCCAATGTTATGTTCATTACCAACCATTACTATACATTGGTTGTTATATAAAGCAACCTAGTTATTTTCCGTCGCTCTGAGTACGTGAAAGTCTTTATAAATTTAAATAGCATAAACGTAAAGTGTCTGGGTGTTTTTTAAAATATCAATTACGATCTCGCAGGATTAACTACAAAACTTCCATACATTAACTATGCGTTTAAACTGACTTGAAAAAATAATTTTGAATGATTTTTTGATTGGAGGCAGTTTCATTTTAAGTCATTGTAAATTTAATGAACTTTCTATAAATCAGCGTTCTACGTAGAACTCACACACTGTATACTTTCTCTACGCCTCACTCAGTCATCGATTGCGATGAACGAACGGACGTGAGTGAGTGACTCATGCGGTGCGTGGAGGCGGCAGTTATTCAGCTCTCAGTGTGACGTTATTCAGCTCGCGGCATGACGTTATTCAGCTCGCAGCGTGACGTTATTCAGTTCGCAGCATGACGTTATTCAGCTCGCAGCGTGACGTTATTCAGCTCGCAGCATGACGTTATTCATCTCGCAGCATGACGGTATTCAGCTCTCAGCGTGACGTTATTCAGCTCGCAGCATGACGTTATTCAGCTCGCGGCATGACGTTATTCAGCTCTCAGCGTGACGTTATTCAGCTTGAAGCGTGACGTTATTCAGCTCGCAGCGTGACGTTATTCAGCTCGCAGCGTGACGCCGGAGAGCAGTAGGTGGAGTGTACTTCGTCTTTCAGTGTCGGTCTTTTTCGGCAGTTTCAGACGGTTGGCGCCTGTCATGGTAGTTTTTTATATTTTCGAGCCAATTTAATTCATGAATTAATGATATATAGGATTCGAGAGCGTGATATTAAGAGGTAAATTAGGAATGAAGACTCTTTTCTCTAATACTAGATGTTAAGCCAATAAAAAATATTGTCATGAAATGCGGTCGTAGTTGAACTTCGAATACAAAAAAAAAAAACAAACTCACAATATTCTATATAATTTTTTTTACACCACCTTTGATTTCATCGTCACGGAAATCTTAGGAACCTTAGTTCCATTCAAAACCATTAACCGCCCTTTTTTATTACACACCACGCTGTAAAATAGGAGAACATTATTCAGAATCCATGACTTCAACGCAGCTTTCAGTAGTGCTAGGGGCTTCAACAGTATTGACTTTAGTGAAACGATGTCGTTTAGGAATGGCTCCAGTCTCCTTGGCAGTTTCAGAAGGAACATTTGTATCAAATTCTTCGTAAATATGAGAGCTCGAATCACATAATGTCCTTGAGCTGAGCGAGTCATGGGTTTCCGTGCGTGGCTGTTCTGGAAGGCTTTCGCTTAATTTTCCAGCCTCATCTAAATCAACGGAAAATCCTTCATTTCTTGAAGGAACATATTCAACTGAGTCAGCCTCATTATTTTCTATGCCATCACTGGTATTTGAATGGCGATCTTCTCTACCAACGTTGCTTCCAGCTCGAAATCCATCTGAAAGCTGGGAGAGATATTTCGAATTCGCATAAAGTTCTTCATCTTCTTTTTGGCAATCTTTGGCTTGATCATTCATCGTACAATTTTCAAAATTTATTCGAGTGTTCGCTGAATTTAAACTATCATCACAATTGCTGACTGGGGACGGAGTTTTCTGTGAGAAATATATTTCCAAATCGCGCGAGACGAGGTTTCCAAGCGACGGTGTCGACTTATTCCTCGTGAATGACGCCTTCCTGTTCTTCCGAAAACTACATTTCGATACTATGCCCGAGGATTTCGAAATAGCATTCAAATTTTTCAGGTAGTCAGTTTGCTTTATTTGCTTGCTTTCTACTCCAACAGCGTTCACGTTCGTGAATGACGATCCCTTCAACTCGTCGGCTCGCCTAGCGTTCAGAAGCTTGGCAGTGCGGCGCTTGACTGTACCAGGAGAAATTGTATTCTTCCGCGAGTTTGTGCCAGGATCAGGCTGTTTACTCGTTTTTGTGTAGATTTCGTCCATTGAATCATTTTTGGATGCGCAAAGTTGTTGGAACTTCTCGCGGGCCACTCGCACTCTCAACTGAGCTCCTATGTTATTCTTCATGTCATCGATGACGTAGGCTTCATCTGTTATGTAAAACTCATCTAGAACCTGCTGAAGCACAGACTCGTATGAAGGGGGCTTCGGATCTTCGGAAGACGTTTCTTCGTTATTACATTTCATCTTTTTCCTTTTGATTTTGTTACATTTCTTACTCCTCCTGGTACATTTTATTAGAGATTTGGAAGTTCCTGTTTTTATTTCTTCAGCTTGAGATGACGGGAGTCCTTCATTATTCTGATCTTGATTGCTATCCTGCTTACCAAGGGATTCAGCCGGTCTTGCGCTGGAGGTAGCAGTGACATTTTCCGTCTCTGTGACCTCGACGGGTTTTGGTAAGTCTTGAAGTCCAACTTCGTTTATCTCGGGAATGGAGCATTGACCCTGATGTGTGGTTTGGCTGTGGACGGACAGAGTGGGCGACTGCATGGACGACCTGCGCAGGGCGCTGGGAAGGTGTGGAGGAGTGGAGGGATGGTAACGATAACTATACGGTGAATCCTGATTTTCTCCATTGACACTTGAAATTCCTCTGCAAGTGCGAAAAATGTTCAAATTATTGTCTTTAATTTGTGCAATCAATTTGAATTGCATGGATGGATATGATTCTGTCGGAATTTTGGCCCTACCGAAAAAATTAGTTAACTATCATAAGTTATTATTTAGCTAGGAATTTGATAGTAATTCTCAGTAATTGTAGCTACATTTACAACGACGTACATAATTATTGTTTAAAACTTTTAGAAAAATTGTGTAAGCCAGATTTTGTGTGCACTCACTCAAAATTTCAAACGCTCACATTTACAGCTGCAGTTTCTTTCACTTCACTATTCTACTTCCAGGTTCAATTACTGACAATTAGTTTGAATTACTTTTGTTGCCAGCTACAATAAATATACCAGGGTACTAACTAACCCTTGGCTGGGGTCCCACAAGACGACGTCAGCTCGCTCGTCAAGATCAAGAGACGTGTGACGAGTACGTCTACTCCTGCGTTGCTCCGGTGTCCTGGTGAGCAGTGAACTGGGCATCGCAGGCAAGGGTGCGAGTTGGGAGAAATTCGGAGGAGGCGTTGCAGGGGGGATGTTAGGGTCAGTATCAATGGGAGTGAGCAGGTCTGTCCTGTGAAGGGCCGTGATGGGGGCTTCAGTCGAAGAGGAACTCTCGACGTTTGTCACCCATGCAGTCATCCCTCCAGGGCGTCGCACGAGCTGACGGTAGAAGAAATTCGTTCAAAAGTTTTGATGCTAGTATGCTAATATTCCTTGTATGCTAGTATGTATGTATTTCTTGTATGCTAGTAAGTTGTATGTATTCCTTGTATGCTAGTAAGTTCCTTGAAACTTAGATAAGGAAAAATCCATTGTAATTAAAATTCCCTTTTCTGAAACTTAGCCATTTGTAAACACTTGAATATATGCATTTCATCCTTTCTTGCATGTCATTAACTATTTGTTGGGCACGCATTGAAATTTCTGCCCTGAAGCGAACTGACGTAGATCAGTATTCGAAAGCTTTGAACGCAGAACATTTGATAAATCTTATCATGCGCAATAAAGACTGTGATTACGTTGCATTTGTGGACTTGATATGGACTTGATGTCGTAAATAACTTCAAGTAAAATTAAATTTATTGATAGAACTTTCCGCTATGAGATATATATCTACCAAAACCTTAGTAATTTTGTAGCACCCAGAATGTAAAAATGTAGAACCAGTAGCCTGGCCAAATAATTCAGATATATCTATAAAATTATGTGTATAGCAAAAAATAAGAAAAAAATGTTTTTAGAAAAAATATTAAACTGCAGTAAATTTCGTGTAAATCAAAATGATTTTTACCTTGAGGTTGTTGCCGGAGAGAATCAACTTGACTACTTCTTCATAGTCAGGCGGCGCTTCGTATAGCGGAGGGTCGTCGGCCGAGGCGTCGAAAATTTCCACGCCATCGTTCAAAGAATCACCTCAAATTGTTGAAAAAATAAAGGGAATTAAAAAATACAGTTGCTACAATAATTGTTTAATGTCTCGTAAGTCTAGTAAATATTGAAAACATTTATTCTTTTCCATATTTATTATTCGCGATTTGCATATCGATGTACGTCTTTTCAATAACGGCTCATTTATAATGTAATATATATAGATTCGTCAAAGTTTGTTTTTGTGATCCATGCCTGGTAAGGTGAATACATTGGTGCTGATCGGAGGTGTTTCCAAGATGCTTATCGTTATCGTTTTATGCCTGATCGGAATATTGACTGAACGAAAAATTTTATTTATAAAGATGGAATCTCGAGGCATAAAAAACATCAGTTGAGAATTGAAATTTAATTTCAAATTGTTAAGTTTGAATTTTATTAAATGATATAAAATTTACGAGACGACGAGATTAACAATGGCGAGATTCTAAATGACAGGATCCGGGCAGACAGTATCGAGGATAACAGGTTTCTTAATAGAGAGGTATTCAAATAACAGTAAGTTATTCCACAAAAAATGTAGTGCGCCTACCACTATACCACCCAGTAAAGATTTCTAATCCGCTAAATAGGAATCAAAATAAAAAGAATTCATATCTAAAACATAGAAATCAGATCATTATAGTAAAGGAGAATTAGGGTGACTTATGCGATTGATTCTTACGCCGTCTGTGGCGTCTGTGGGTGCGGTGATGCCTGGTGCTAGCTGCACTTGTCCCCTGCTTGATCATGTAGGAGACGAGGCACACGATCACCAGGATCAGGACTGCAATCAAAACAAAACCGGGTCTCAGGTCTCAAAAACAGTTGATAATGGCACGAAGACTGCATAATGTTTTTATGGTAGAAATTCTTACAAACTAGGTGAATGATTGGTAAAGCATAGTTTAACTGCTATTTTCGATCATATATTTATCTTGTTTCCTCAAAAAGAAAAGCAAAGTATTCCTAAGTTAGCCTTTAATGCTAAACTTCAGTATTAACAATAGTTTTAATGATTTTCCGCTATGACTGAAATAATTAAAGCCTTTTGCCGTACTCATGAAAAAATTTTGATACAGAGTACAATTGATTGAATTGTGAGGCTAGCCTATGTCGCTAAACTATGCACACATGAGCTCAGTTTGGATGATAATTTTCTTGAGACAGTGACGATATGTTGATTAGATTCAAGATTTTGTAAGCTGCTCAAAAATATTCACTGTATTTCACATGCAGTGAAAGAATTATTTCAGGCAGGTGTTGAAAATATTATTTAACGGACTCAAAATAAACAAAGTAAGCTCACTAAAAAATGATGTGAGCAGCAAAATGCCAGAGCCCTGCTGGTCCCCAAAAATTGGGGTTCTGTAAGGGAAGTAGTAATTGGGAGTGTGCTTGTACCACCACGCTGTCTCGTCCCCAACACCTCCGTTTCCTGGGGAGCGGAAGGCCCATGAATTCAGATTTTCCAATAAGAAATAAATATTTCAAATCGCTCAGATGTATGAAGCACTATATAACTCTCCACCCAAATGAAGGTGGAGAGTTACTTTCAGTATGAAAAAATTCCAAGCTATTTTCCACGGAATCTTTGATTTTCTTACGGAAAATCTTGCAATGCAATAAAACCAATGGTATATTATTGACAACATCAATTCAAAATTTTAGTTTCATAATCATGAATATATAATTTCAATGCAGTAAATAAGAAATAAAACCTATGAGAAGAATGCAAATTACTTCCGGTCTTTAGAAGTTAATAACCGTCCGAAAACCTGCTGTACCTGCCTACAGTTTTATAAGAGACTCACCGTCGCCAGGGGGAGTGGAGTAGCACGACGCAGGTTCATCAGAGCCGTCCCCGCAGTGATCAAATCCATCGCACCGCAACATTTTTGGCACGCAACGCTGGTTTAGACACTTCAGGTCCATTAACGGGTAGCAGCCTGTAGCAAAAGGGGCAATTATATATGCGTTAGTGACGGCAGATCAAGTGAAATTCGAGTCTGACAGTGATCTAACTACCAAGAGCTTTTTCAGTATAGTATTGTTCACACTCGAGATCTCGTTACTTGGATCATCTACAGCAGGTCAACGGCCGTTGAGAAGTCTTAATTAATACACTTCAGGGTTCGGTATGACAAGAACCAGCAGTTTTCTAAGGTAATAAGCGAGCATTGAAAGACCCAGAATTATCTATTGTTGATGTGTGCCCAGAAAAAGTTTACCACGCAAAGTTTCTAGATGTGCAATATATCTCACCTCCCATGTAATTGAAGGAAGCGTAGACCAAGGCAAAATGAGAGTTCTCCATGAAGGAGCCTCTAAGACGAACGTAAAAACCGGTGCCGACGGCGACGACATGTTCTTTTCCTTGCAGAACTCGCCTGCCGGAGCCATTCTGAGTTAACTCTTCCAGCAAGAGGTCGTCGCTCGTCAGCCCTTTACGAATCTCGATAGTCGAGTTGTAACCTTTGCAGAAATTATGTTACTCATGAGTCTAAATAATTCCAGTACTGAGAAATTCAAATTGCGATGAAACCGCCAGTTATTTATCTCTACTCTACTATTGACCAGCAAAAACTACAACAAATTATATTACGAAGCTCTATTATCAAGAAGTATTTAAGCGCCACGAAACTATTCTATCCAAAGTTCTCAATAGAAACTTATTCTATAAAAAACTCCATTAACGTGATGTGTCTGGCAACTCAACTCAATTGTACTCGAGTATCAGCTGCAAATACAATATTGTCGATTGCTCAACCTGCAATTAAGCTCGATTATTGATGATTTGGAATGTATGGTAAATTCTAGTACTTATCCCAGTTATCGACTGAAGTGGTTCCGATTTTGGAGTTTAATTGTGCAAATGAATACATGTTGATTCGCAGTGACCTTCCGTACATCTTCATGTGGGACTCAAAGCTCATGCCAAGTATTAATTTCTTATTATATAATTGAACATACATGAGCACTGACCCATATAGTCGAAGTTGTGAACTCTTATGGAGAGATGTGACTTAAGGCCGTACTCCTGGGGCGGCTTGATGAGCCACACGCAGTCGTACGGCGCTTCGGTAGTAACTCTTCCAGAGGTCCGACCCACGGTCATGTTCAGCATGGTGATCGTGCCGCCAATGTTGGTCACGAAGCCCCCGCAGTCTTTTGGGTGTGAAAGAAAATACAGAGGGAAGATAATTTCATGGCACATGGAGGAAAATGATTTTTTTGATCGGCTGGTGGCCAAACAGGTCGAAAATCAAATTAAATAATTATTGCATTCAACCTGGTTGAGAATTGGTAATTATCTGTCAAAAAGTAGGTAATTCTCCTAAATAGTATTCAGGATGAAATTCCACATCTCTTTCGTGATTGATTCTTTAATTGGGAATGTAATAATTCGACTTTTATGTCATACAAATTACATTATTCTCTCTCGCTTATATACGTAGAGCAGCTCAATCAATCGATGCAGCACCCACAACTCACAATAAAATAGGCACTTAACCCTCTACCGCCGTAGGTCACTCTCCGGGAACATAAATTTCAATTTAAATTGTACGTAAACTACAGTTTGTATTAACCTGAATACGTTTGTAAGCAACAGAGAATATTTTAAAGTTGTCGTACGTGGCGGCAACGTATCCTTTTTGGGAAGTAGGCTTGGGACAACATTGCTCCGGTTACTGATGTCAGGCGGTAGAGGGTTAAAATGAACCCACCACTGCGATACGGAGGAAGAAGATCTTTCACGTCAGCGAAGACGTATCGGAACTTGAAGCCGCGTCCCGTGTCGCCGTTAGCGGCAAACTTGAGCACGAGTCGCGTCCCCTGAGACACCAGCAGCGGCGGACGAAACACGTGCCCGTTGAACCCGGCTACTTGGGATCGTTGATTGTCGTGGACCTCAAGAGAAAACAGGTGATTATTAATTCAAATTAACAGGAGTATGCGTGATGACGAAAATCGTTCGTTGTTGTGAAACAGTCTCCGCTGAATAGAGACATTAGAAGTAATGTAGAAATAGACCTATACAGAACTAGAGAATTTCGCGCATTCTTAAAATATAATATCCAATTTTATTTTGAAACTTTTTAAAGCAATTCTTACCTCCACGAAACTCCATGGGGATAACCCGAAATCTTCGAATATGATCTGAACTCGTGCTGTTTGGTTGATGCCCGTGAAAATATACTCTACCCAATAATCTTTCGGGTACAATTCGGGGAAGAAAGGAGACCGGATGACCCCGGAAGAAGGAGACAATTCCCGAACGATGACAAAACTGTTTCCTGTGATGATAAATATTTACTTACTATAAAAATAACAAATGTACAATAATTGAATTCGAGGTGAATTCATAAACCTAATCTATTAGAAAACTTCAAAATTAAGTTTCAGTTCACCGCCGAACAAAATTTATTGTAAAAGGTTAAATTTTGCATGTTCAATAATCGCCGATGAAGATTTATGTGCATCTATATATATTTCAGGAGCGAATTCACTTTCTTCTTATACATTAACCGAGTTAATTGCTTTGCATCCACATTTATACGGCAATAATTATAGTGCTTCATCTGTATTTTGCATGCACTTAAACATCACGCTCCAGTGACACAGTTGAAAAAATTCTCTATTGTCATCAATACTAACCTAAAATGTAATTGCTACGAGCAAAATGGTTGATGATTTCCATTCATTATATTCAGACGTGATACACTTCAGCCAGGTACAGGCAAACAATTGACTTACTGAGAGCTGAAACACGAAGAGAGAAGGCCTTAGCAAAGGTATTCCTGTAGAAGAAATAGAGAGAAGCTTCTCGAGTGAGGGAAGTGTACTCTACGAACTTTGTTGAAGGGTCAACTGACTCTTCAAAGTTGCCACAAACGTCCCGTCCGTCTTCTGGGTTCATGTAAGGAGGTTCACTTAAACGGAGGTGGTCACATCTGCACAAATAAAATTTATGGTGCGAAGAAGAATCTTAAGAAGGTGATAAGGATTTGAAATTCCGTGAATCTCCTGTTGAAACTAACTAGAAATAATATTTATTGAACTCAAGTTGAGTTGTTACCAATACTAGGCATATATTGCAATATTATTAATAACTTATCTATTTACGTTAATATGTAAAATTCACTAACGATTAAACCCATCGAAAATTAAGTTTCAAATCAAAATATGTTCACTTTATGTTGCAATGTTCACTTTAGAACAGAAATCGAAGGAATACCGGAATACATATTGAATAAAATTGGCGTTCACGACGAGTAACACAACAGTACAGTATTCAAGTTGAATTACTTGCATGATCCATCATCGGAACACGATGGCAGGTGTAATTCCTGGAAAGAGAAATGAAGGTGGCAGCCAGGACACGTGTAGACGTTGATGCCACACTGCTGCAGGTCAGGCTGCTGGAGTTGAGTGTCGACTGCCTCTTGGTCTGCTGTTGCAAGTTTATTCTCATCTCTTTTTGAGCCTCGGAAGCCTCGGTGGATGTTCACAGAGGAACCTGCAACGGGTGTTTGTACATTTGCCAGAGGTGGATGGTGAAGCTCTTGATGGGCGAGGCTGTACGATTCTGTGGCAAGTGGAAGACCAGTTTTGAGTTGTAGATGTTTTGCAAGTAAATTTTGCTCAAGAGGGTCAGGTTTTGACTTGGGTACGTCTTTACTGCCTGTGAATCCAGATTCAAGCTCAATTTCTGGGGCACTCTTTTCTTTTGATGAGTTTTTAATGTCGTTCCTCTGTATTTCTTGGTCCATCTGCCGCGATAGACGAAGTGAAGGAACTTGAAGGGTTCTCCAATTTGCTGCAGTCGTTTCAAAATATCCCTGTAAGTTTCGCTCTGAAAGTAAACATACTCTCAAATTATATTCATGAATAGAGATAACAGATTCTTATCAGTGAGTCTTTGTAACGAATTATGCTAAGTTACTGAATGTGGAACTTGGGTATAAATTGTGGAAACCGCGGCTCCACTACAGATAAAGAATTGTCGCCCAATAATCTTCGGTTGAAAAAATTAAAAATGTATAGGATAAGTAGAGCGAGCCTCTCACCTGCGCCTCTATTCACTGAACCCACAGGCTTATGCAGACGCTGCATCAATATATTTCCTTCGTTTCGGTCAAAGAAGTTTTCTAAAATCTGAGCATCTGAATTAGAAGAAGGATTTATGTAATCAAAAGATGGAAATTCCACGTCGTTGACTGCGTTCCGAACAAAGGTGTTGCTAAAATCCACACTAGCGATGTTGCGAACTCTTCTTCGATTCGAATGCAGATTCTCATCTCGCTCGAGTATGTATTCTCTGATATTCCTTCTGAAATGGAAACAAACTCTGCTTTGCTCATTGAAATGAAACTTAAATCATGGCTATTCTAAATGTCCATGTCAGTCTGTTGGACACACGAGTAAACATTGTGGTTTAGGGAAAATGGTAACGTCTTTCTCTCCAGGCATTGATAAAAGAAACTACTTTTGGTCGGAAGAATTGTATTTACAATATTCATTTCAGCAGTGTTTTCGCCCCTCGGGAGAAGAGAAGATCTATTGTACACGAGATAATGATTTATTTCAAAATTAATAAATGAAAAAATACTTCGATGATAGAGAGGAAAGATCACCTGATTTCTTCCCATTTTCAGAGTTGGTGACTATTGAGGGCCTTTGATTTCATTCAAAGTGTGTCAGTGAGAACCCCTATACTGTGTTCTGGACTAGAAGGGTTGCCCGTGAGAGTGCCTTTTTGTATACAGGATTTGATGGGTTAACCGAGAGCGTTTCCTTTGTGTTCTGGACTTCAATGAACGCCAGTGACTATGTCTACCGTGTACAGAACTTAGATCATCGCTCTGGTCTGCTCTTACCGTGTTCTGGACTTGAATGTGTCGCCGGTGTTGTTGGTGGCATAGAGGAGGGCTGTGGTGCCAGGCTCCAGGTACACCTTGCGTCCTGAGAAGCTCTGACACACGTCGCCGTGCACCACAGTCCGCGACGCACTCACGTTACCCACAGCCGCGGCGATCATAACTGATACAAAGTAAATATGTGATGAGCGAATTCATTCTCAGTATAACGGATAGTCCTCAGGATTTTATTAAATGATTCAGTTAAAATAAATGGATGCACATGGATGCAAGTATGCATAAGAATGATGTATATATTCAAAATTGTTAAATAAATTAATCTATGAATCTTGTTCAAAATATTCGAAATTCCATCGGTCGTGCAAAAAAAAGACAAATTTAAGTCTTACCTGCTGCAAGCATTATGATGCCATAACACTTGTATGGGCGATTATCTTGACGAGACATCTCTGGTTCCTTGCACACGTTTCAATTTATCCACAAAAGAGCTGAGACAATCGAAACTTTATCGAATAAAATTTCGATCAACTCACTTTCTCTGGACCCTCAGACCTCGATCATGGCGAGGGTTTAGCTTTTCTGAGTTGCAATACATTTTTAGAATCGTAGGAATATTGTGTAAGGATTCAATTTTTCATTGGGCAATTTGAGGTTTTGGAGTAACTTAAGTTGTTGGTAAAAGTAACATTCAAGATTTACAACATTAACTCTAGTTTATAATCTAGTTCGGTGATTCAAGGTGACAGTGTGATGAGCTTGCAGCTCGCGTTGCGAAGCGAGTGCAGGCTTGTAGGTCTAGCAGCCTCGGTGCAGTCCGTTGAAGCCTCAGTAACGCAGCCAGCGACGTTTATAGTGATTCTCAGTTCAACGTGACGAATGCAAGCAAAAAATGAAGGATAATTAAAAATATAAAGGCATGAGTATTCAGAGATATTTATCAGTTTAAGATATTTTTAATTTTATTTATTTTATAATAGATTTTTTAAAACAGTGAACGAACTGAGAAAATTAAAAAATATTCTATAGGCAGAAATTTAAATTTCTTCAACATTTATTCAACAAAATTCCTTGCGTCAAACCCCCTAAACCCCCTAAAGGCTAAACCCATGGTTGAACTAGTATATAGTTCAACCATGGGCTAAACCTACCTCTTAAGGGCACAAACCGGAATTATTGATAAACGGAAAATGTGGGGAACTATTGAAATCATCGTACGTGCACTCACAGATTTAAAATTAGGGACTTGAAGGGTTTATTGCGTGTGGAAAAAAAAACTCGCACATGCATGCGTTAATACAAGTAGGTACAGCCTACGCATAATTTAACAATACAGAAATAGAATCTCGATACACGATTGCAACACGAAATTCTCAGGACAAATTAAATAAATACATTTCGTTGGAGGAAATTTAAGGACGGATGACTCCTAAAAAATGTACTCAACGTCATTAAGTTAAATGAAAGTCTTTTCACTGGCAGTTATGAAGCTCTATTATTGTTACTACTCACTACTGGCAAGAACACTCACGATAAACATTGGAATCCGAACAATGAGAAGCGAATGCGCCAGCTATTTTCCTCCAGCAAATCTAATTTACTGTATTTTTATAAAACAATGGTATCATAGAAGGTTCGAATAGTATAATACTAGAAATACGATGGAATATTACAAAAATAATAAAGGATTTAATTCAATGTGTTTTTCAAAATAGGCTAAAAGTTCTCTAGATATAGGAAAGAACGTTGTATGATTATATGCAATTAAACAATTAAGACACAGAAATACTGTCGACCATTGATGTAATCGAATTTATACTGAAATCAAGGCAAATGGTTGTGGATCCCGGAAGTTCGTCGAGTCTGAAGCCTTCATCCTGTAGCGGTGGATGGAATATCGATCTTCTACAAACGTTCCAGTTGCAACATCAGTTTTGTCAAAAGTTTTATCCTTCCCATCTCCATTGGCAGCGTATAGGATCATCGACCAGCTTCACATTCTCTTTATTCCGGTTTTTCCCGTCTCCCTGATCCGATTTTTATTCGGACGCGTAAAATTACTTCGAAAACAAAAAGTAGAAAATTTTCCTTTAAATAAAAAAATAGGCTGCTCAATACCACCTAATGAGCTTCATTAGGTCTATCTTTGAGGGGAAAATAGGCACTAGTAGTTCATTAAATTAGAAGCACAGAAGGTTGTAGTTTTTGATGGACGCCCGCGGAGAAGTTAATAAGTTGCCTCCAGACCAACGTGGAGGAAAAAAATTAAGGGATGTCATTTTCACTTGATTGGATCGTAAAATAAAACCTATAAGAAATAATGTTGTACATGAACAAATAAATATATACTGCCACATATCGTTAAACGAGTGAAAAATGTTTTTATGATTTTTTTATATATTATTTCATATGGTCTTCATGAATTCAAATGTTTTTAATTCATTTGGTGATTCTTATGAAGGATTTCATCGCACGATTCAACTATGCATCTTCCCTCGATAAATAGCTAAGTTCTTCTGACGTACTGGAAATGAACGATTGCGGTTTGCGCTAGAATTTCTCCAACTAGTGTGGATATTTCAAAATTATCTCCCAATAAAGCAGAAAAATTCATAAGCTCATCAATAGAAACTGGTCAAAGTGTACAAGGAAAACTGTTTATTGGGCTATTGAAAAAGTTTGCACAGGCATCATGGCTTCTGGATGAGACGGTATAGTCACCTCACAATCGCTCCCATATCTTCGGCGTCCTCAGATAAAGAGTGAAACTTGGTCTTTGTTACTTTCTGTCCTTGTGTAGGTCGGCCTGACCCGGTACCAATGCACTGCGTTAGAATGGTCGTTAGACGTATAGAGTTTAAATACTTATAATAATACCGTAAACAAATTTATTCTGCCTGCTGCATTACAGTTGTAATCGGGAATGAATTTGAGATTGGGATTAACGTGTTTGAGAATATGAGAGCGTTGTGAAAAAGTTTGGGAACGAACTTTTACCTACAAGCCTCGGAGAAACGTCTACTTCATACAATTAATAATTCATTTATATATTGCCAGCGACAAATGTTACAATGCTTTCAGAAGAGTATAGAATTGACGAGTGTTAATGTATCAGCAGACAGAAGTGGACGTCGTATAGCTGGTCTTAGAATGGTCTACCGTCATTGATCTTTTATAAGTTTTAACGATTTCTTTTAGAAAACGGAGCAAAGCTCATAGATATAACTGATTCATTAGTTAACTCTGGGCGGACAACTCTCAATATTTCCCCAATGTATATTATCGATAAACCTGAATGCAGTTTCATTTTTAAGAGAATTTTGCCTGTACAGTTTGCCTCGAATTTATCTTAAATAATATTAGTGTCTATCAACTTTTACACATCAAATTTCGCAGGCGAGCTCCGCAAGCAAACGACTTCCATAAAAAACTATTGTCATCTATTGCAGCTGGCCGATTTTCATCTAAACAACTTTCGTATGAAATCTATCATATTCCTTCCTGAAATTATCGATGTTATCTAATCTCACTCCAATATAATATTCTGCTGCCACCCTCTCACCCAATTTTTTCTTTGAACTCACTTGACATACTTGAAATTATCTTGTAGCTTCTCTGTAACTATTCAAAATTAAATCATTCACTATTTAAAACACGTATAGCTGTTGTAGGCGTCTGGAACATATTACTTGTATGTTTAATATTTAATATTGTTGTATGCAATGGTGATCTCGAATCAAAAATCATTGATAGATTGAAGGAATAACTTCCAGTGAACAATATATAAATGGAGCGAATAAAATGTTAGCGTATCAATGAAAGTACCTTTCTTGCTCCTTAGTAGCAGTTTAATCGCATATACAGCACGCTAATTAGTTACTTCCAGCGTCATTTGCTGATGGAGGTGCGTCGGTGATGTTAAAAGACTTGTCGTCGACATGTAAGTATTCGGTGCGTCGGTGATGTTCAAGGACTCGTCGTTAACATGGAAGGATTCGGAGCGTCGGTGATGCTCAAGGACTAGTCGTTGACATGGAAGGATTCGGTGCGTCAGTGATGTTCAAGGACTCGTCGTTGACATGGAAGGATTCGGAGCGTCGGTGATGCTCAAGGACTCGTCGTTAACATGGAAGGATTCGGTGCGTCGGTGATGCTCAAGGACTAGTCGTTGACATGGAAGGATTCGGTGCGTCAGTGATGTTCAAGGACTCGTCGTTGACATGGAAGGATTTGGTGCGTCGGTGATGTTCAAGGACTCGTCGTTGACATGGAAGGATTCGGTGCGTCGGTGATGTTCAAGGACTCGTCGTTGACATGGAAGGATCCTTCATGGTGACGTGGTAGGCAATTCCAAGGACAATTTATATCAACAAATTTTCCAATAGAAAAAATAAATTCTTGATCCTGTCAAAGGTTCTCATCGCGTGTCCATTGCATGTTACCGTTCAGTAGGTTTATAAAAAGTCGTGAAATAGTTAACAAAATCTTAAGAGTTTCTCTTAATTAGCACGGAAAGATTTTGAAAATAATTCAACCATGTTATTTTGTAAAGACTTGTTTTCTTTTGAGCTGATCACAAGTTTTTGAAATCTAGAATTTAAAAAAAAAATTACTTCTAGCTTCAGAACATAGACGACTCACTGAAAAAGTATATTTTCTTCCATAAATGTTTTCTCAAAGGATTTTTTTACTATTTGTTAAAACATGAAAGGAGTGCTGTGATAGATTATGTTTTGTAAGAAATTTGTACAAGGAATTTATGCTGTAGAAGATATGCAAATAAGGTAGTTAGAAAAATCTCAAAAATCGTAGGATCTTACGGTGAATGTCTAAAGATTATTGAAGATCACTATACAAGAAGAATTTCAATTTCTGAAACATGAATGAAAGTTATGTGCCATATAAAGAAGAGCCGATAAATATTGCTAGCGTATTACTTAACTGTAACTTATGCCTACCTATATCGGGAAATTAAAATGGACGAATTTGGCGAGCATTATCGATCTCCGATATTCTGGCTTTACCTATAGCAAAATTTTTGAATCACAAAATAATTTTAACATACGAAACAATATAATGCAATATCCTATAACTTTGGCTACTTTATGATGTAGCATATAATGACAATGGAATACAAAATAATATATGTATATTATGTACAATAACTTCAGTATAATTTAGTTTAATATAATTTATTATAGACATTGGTCCATAACATGAACATTTACTTTCTTTATTACTAAATTGAAAGAAAACACGGATTTCAGTAATAAGCCTGGCAGTAGATTGGATCTTAGTTGACTCTTAGCACTCGATTCGAATTCTTGGACCTCCTGAACAGCCGTCCGTAGTCTTTTTCTCAGACCCGTACACTCTGTAGGCGCGTCTCCAGGTCCTTGACAAGG